AGTGGAGAGTGATGATATGAATGGCCTTCCACACCCAATTATTGCAGATTGGACAATATGCCTTAAAGTTATGTAATCTAATCAAATGAGAAGGGGAAAGTGTGAAGTATTGAAAGCTGGATATGAAGGTAGAGAGCAAGAGAGTGTGTGCGTGCATGTGTGTGTGTGAGAGAGAGAGAAAGAGAGAGAGAGAGAAAGAGAGAGAGAGAGAGAGAGAGAGAAAGAGAGATAGGCGGGTGAGAGATAGATAGAAGAGAGATAGAGAGGCAGTGGGAGAGGCAGAAAAGGAGAGGGGAAGAGAGAGAGTGTAGAAGAAATGGAGAGTGAGGGGCAGAGAGAGAGAGATATACATGTAAGAGAGGCAGTGAAACGGGCAAAAAGAGAGAGAATTAGAGATAGAGAGAAAGAAGTGGAGAGAAAGAAGATCGAAGGAGGGACAGAGAGCGAACAATTTAAAGAGGCAAGGACTATACAGGCTTCAACGCAAAGTCATTATTTCATCCTTATAGGAATGGGATTCTCACTCAATCTTGAAATAAGATTATTTCATATCTTTAATATATTGCTCTAAGCAGGGATGAGATAGCCAAATGGCTTCTTTTCATATGACAAACAATATTGGCATTGAAATAAAGCTTAAATAAAAACGCAATTACAAATTCCATATCCTGTAGCTGCAGCTAGGAGCAGCTTACAAATCCTTCTTTCAAAGTTCCATTCATAACTCATAATTCGTTGTCCATTTTTTCACAACCTGGGATAAATACTTGACATCAACATAGCCTCGACTTACTTTTGTTTGGGACTTATTTCATTGTAAATATCACAAAAGTGATTTGAATGTATGGATATAGGATGGCAGGTCAATTCAATTTCTGTTGCTCTTATGGCTTCATCATCTGTAACGAGCTATGCAGAAAAGCAGCATCTCAGTCATAGGGCCCTGTTTCACAAAACTTGTCATCAGTGACAAATGACGGTTTTTGTTACAAGCTACTGAAATCCTTGCTTCTGATTGGTTATCGGCAGATGTGTCACTGATTTTTGTCATTTGTCATTGAATAAAGACTTTATGAAACAGGTCCCAGGATTTAATGCCCTTCTGGCTCTCCTAATGTGACATTCAGTAACTTTGAACTTTGACCTCAAGTTACGTTTATCATGGATATATTTATTATGTAACAAACAAGTCGAGAATTTGAAGTTGAGAATTTCAACATATCCTAATATCGAGAGCTAGACAGGTTTTACTAAGGGCGCGTTCATGCTTGATTTTGAAGGCAGAATGAGCGATTTGTAACGCTCATCATAAACGCTCATCGTAATCGCTGCACTGTTCATGCTCAGTTCTCCAGGCAATTCTCCTTGGGTGGCCTTCAGCTGGATTCGCAAACCTGTGTGCGCATGCTACGTAGACCCACTAGAGGTCAGTGCGTTGACCCCATTTAAACGCGTTTACAAATTGTAAACGCATCTTTTTGTGAGTTTACGATCAGCGATCGTGATCGCCGTTTTTCTGTGATTCTACAAAAGTGAGCATGAACGCAATCGTGTTTTAAACTAAACGCGAAACAGATGCCTGATTCTGGCCGTCAAAATCAAGCATGAACGCGCCCTTATATAATATTGACTGGCCTTGAGGGAGCGGATATCAGGAACTATTGCCCTCACTGAAATCATAGGTGGATTTTATCAATTTGCTGGTAGTTGTTTAACAACTTCCGACAAAACACTGAAATTTTAGAAAACTAAGGAAAAATATGATATGTAATGTAATGAACATCATCACAGGCAGACTAAAAAGTTATACAAATTCAATGTTCCTCCCTGCAATATTGATTAAAACTATACCGGTGTCTGAAAGAGCCTAGAAAGGTGTTTTAATTTCCCCCAGGATATAAGAAACGGAAGAGAGATGGGATTGTCATTTTCTTGAGACAAAGATGATAATCGATGTTGGGTGGGGAAAAATTCATTTACCCTGAACTTAAATTACAAAAACATAAAGAGTAAATAACATTTCACAAAGAAAAACAAGCAAGCAGAATCTATATTACTAATACGCAAAATCGCCGCGGGGGGTCCAAACGGGTACAAAACGGTTCCTCAAAAACGCCTTTCCCCGACCCCGCCCGCCTCCGCCGTGGCGCGGGGAGGGCGGCACAATTCCGCGAGGCCTGTCTCCCGTAACCCGCGTGCCACGTCGACCCCGCGATCGACGTCCACGCCGTTAAACGCGGTTTCGGGGTGCCGGGGAGGACGGGCGGACGAGAGCACGGCGGGCGTCGTGGATTGCGAGGAGGCGACGAACCCGCGAGAGCGAGTCGGCAAGGCGTGCACCCGCCCTCTGTCTAATTATCAAAGAGAGACGAAGAGACACGCGATGGGCGAGAATCCACTCGCGTCAACGGGTGTAGCAAGTCTCATTGAAAAAGCTGCGGCGTATACCGAGTAAGACCTCTTGCTATAGGGTTCGCTTTGTAGCGTGTAAGAGAAATACACATCAACAGACGACTCACCCGGGTGAGGGGATGTAGCCAATATGTATCCTCAACGGGTTGAGCTTACCCGTGCTATGCGTCTTTCTATATGATATAGGCCAGGCGCCCACAGTGTACGTGTATTACACGCTCTCAGGTCACACACATGCACACACCACAGTCGATTCGAGTCGAGGCGATTGCGACAACTAGCGCAAACCATGGACCTATTTTCACGTAAAATCTTTACTCTGAAAATAATTATACAAATTCTGTGATCTATGCCAACATAATCATAGTCCAAGCTTCTGTTTTATTGGTCTTTTCATGAAAACTACATCGAAATCACAACAAGAATAGCGCAAATAGATCTGTGATAGTACGCCTTCACGTGACAGTTCAGTTGCAAACTGCCTTGAGTCCACAGTGTATTGCCACGGCAGCTGAGCGCTGCTGTCGGGGTGCTGTCGGAGCTGAGTGTGTGAGCGTGGAGTAGCGGTGACCGGAGTAGCCAGGCCTGTCCGTGGTGTGAGGAGAGTCTAAACAACACTTTGAAATTGCTATTTATTGCCCCGATTTCAATATAGTTTCGTGAATAGATGTATGAAACCTGGGCTTAGATTGTGATTATTCTGGCCATGTAGAGTTGTATACTGAATTTCTATAATCATTTTTAAAGTAAAGTTTTCACAAGCAAAGTAAAGTTTTCACAAGCAAAGTAAAGTTTTCACAAGAAAATCAGACGGTCGTCATGGTCGTTTAAAAACATGATAATACTTTAAGTATGATACAGTTCTTGCATCAAATCAAGTTTTAAAGTGTGGGGGGGGGGGGGGGGGTCAGGTAACTCAAAGCGATTTGAGTGCAGGCGTGGTGTCCACGGGTACAAAGGGCTGAACCCCCGAAAGCTCAGGGGTTTTAGGCATTTAATTACGGTCAGATGAGCATATTTTTAATGCCTTATTTGTGACACTGGCAGGTCGATCACTAATTGGCGTGGGGTCCATAGTAGAGTTGCGTACCAACTACGCTGAGCTGAGAGTACGCTGGCCTACGTTACTTTACCATGAGGGACGCAAAAAAATACGGAAGATGGACGCAAACAATTTAATATGTTTAACAAAATTCGCGTACTTTCGGCGTAGAAACTTGACACAGAAAGTAAGTCTTTTTTGACGTAACACTACGCTACTAAACTAAACAAACTGCATCTTTAAATGAATTAATGAAAAATGAGCCCCCGAAAGATTAAAAAAAGTAGCCCCCAAAAATGTTCCCAAAATTTGATATAGATCGAGTCCCCGAAAAAAAAAATCTTTCACTGGATTCTACGCTCACAGTCCCACACACAGTCGAGTCAATTTGTGCACAAACCGTCCGATTTTTTGCGTAAAATCTTTACTTTGAAAATAATTATACACATTTTGTGAACAATGCCAACATAATCATAATCCAAGCCTCTGCATATGTAGTCTTTTCATGAAACTACATTGAAATCACAACAATAATAATGCAAATAAATAGTAATTATCGAGATCCTATCTGACATAGTTTGTTTTACGATGCGCCATTCATGGTCAAACAGCATATATTATAAAAATTCTCTATATAAAGATAATCTAAATTTTTTTTGGATAGCACATAGGCCTCTATCTATCTATCTATTTGGCCCCCTCCCCTAGAATCCCGTGGATTTTCCACGGGTCCTGCTTGTTTATATTAATCACAAAAGACAGATGTGGGTGTCCTACGTAATCTGTATACGTGTGCTGAAAGGAAATTGTAAATAAAGTTAAAAGAAAAAGGAGGAAAAAATATCTTGAAGCTCAGTAAATGTCATTTTGCCTCAAACCTTGAATATGGATTTGTGACATTTTTAAATATATTAAAGTATTGATGGATAGTTCAATCATAATATAATTTTTCATTTAAATATTGTGGGAGATTCTAGTAACATGTACATGTAGATAAAAGAGAGTAGCAGGCAGAAAGGAGGGAGGGAGGGAGGGAGGGAGGGAGGGAATTAAAAGGAGAGGTAGGGAAGAGATGAGGAGGTGAGAGGATGGGAGGGGAGGGGAGAGTAGAAGAGAGAAGAGGATGGAGGGATTTAAGAGAAGGGGAGGGAGAGAACAGATGAGGAGGGGAGAGGAGGAGGGGAGAGGAGGGGAAGAGGAGGGGGAGAAGAGGAGGGGAGAAGAGGAGGGGAGAAGAGGAGGGGAGAAGAGGAGGGGAGAAGAGGAGGGGAGAAGAGGAGGGGAGAAGAGGAGGGGAGAAGAGGAGGGGAGAAGAGGAGGGGAGGAGCACATGGAAGAGGAAGGAAAGAGGAGAAGGAGGGAAAGGGGGAAAGGAGGGAAAGGAGGGGAAAGGGGGAAGAGACAAGAGGAGAAGGGGGAAGGAGGGGAGGAGTAAAGAGCAGGAGGAGAAGGGGAGGGGAAGGGCAACATGAGAAAAGAGGTCAAGAGGGTATAAGAAGGGGTAGGGAGAGTGAGGTTGACAGAGGGGAGGGATATATATACTCACTGCTGTAATATCTGCTGATTGTTGATGATTTTCTGGATGAAATCATGGAGGCCTTCTCTTCTCTGACGGATGAATTCTGGGTCAAAGTTGTTGCCAAAGAGCTTCTTGCCCGGCAGCTTGAGGTCTGCACCGGGGAACTTCTTCTTCAGCTGTATAATGGAGTGAATAAGGGAGAGATGGAGGAAGAGAAAGAGAAAGAGGATGAGACAGAGAGAGAGAGAGAGAGAAAGAAAGAGAGAGAAAAAAGAGAGAAAGGACAGACAGAGACAGATAGAGAGAGAGTGAGAGGGAGAGAGAGAGAGAAAGAGAATGACAGACAGAAACAGAGAGGAGAGAGAGAGAGAGAGGGAGGCAGACAGGGACAGATTAAGAGAGAGAGAGAGAGAGAAATTGGGAGGAGAGTGATTGAGAGAAAAGGATATGCACAGCGAGAAAGAGAGAGAGGGAAAGAGAAAGGTGAAAAAAAAGAAGAACATGAGATGGTAAAAATTAATAGAGAAATCAAAAACAAAACCAAGTTTATTTTGGTCTAGCATCATATACAGTGGGTGGATTATTCAATAGATGTTGAGAACAACAACATGTCAGAGGCCAAAAATGATAAATCACATTGAAGGTGTATATATATAGAACATTGCAATATTATATGACCATGAATATATCAAAGTGTGAATCCAATGCATCCAGCTTTCACAAGAAGCCTGTTTTCATCAGACCGAAGTTGCAAAATAAACCCGCTATTTTCAGACTCGGGATATTTCCCCGAAGCTCGAAATTGCGTCTTCACCATCCCGATACGCTCATCACAAACTAGATGAAGACTGGGGCAAATGAGCTCGTATTTCCTAAACAGCGGGCTATTTTGAAAACAAGACCAAGATTTCTCGGGATATTTTATCAACCAAATATCACTCTAATTGCAACTGCGGGCTGATGAAGACACAGATTAGCTGGCTATTGTGAGATCGGGCTAGTTAAAATAGCGGGTTATTTTGCAACTTTGGTCTGATGAGGACAGACCTAAGGATGAATGTCTCACGAGAGAATGAAAATAACACGTCTTGTCTAGAGGACATGCTGTCTGGGATTTGAACTTGCAACCTTCCACGACAAGAAGATCTATTACAGACATCCGGTCAAACCATCTCCAAGGCACTGTAATAGAAGATCGCAACAAGAATAGGCAATGGCTTTGGCTTTGATTGAAAAACCTCCCTGTATTCATTATTTTTTCTTTCCACACATTTCATATTTTAAAGGCATTGTTTAAAGATAAAGACCAGTTATGGTCATGCGATTGCATTGTGAAAGAAACGTTGTGAAATCAATCAGAAAAGGTTGATCATCTAGCATAGATGTGCGGCAAGGTTCTGGAATCATCAAAATGATAAGAAATTTGGCCCAGTCTTCAAAAGTTACAAGTACTGTACACAGAAAGATGTATATAGGACTACGCACACGTGCGCAACACGTGCGTTTATCTCTCACAGACCATGTAGATAAACTAATTTACCAAATATATCAATTAGTAGGGGGTTTCCCTGCAATTTTTTTTATCATTATGTACTATTCAAAACATATTCTTTCACATGATTGGTAATAAGAGGTTCCATTTCATTTTTTGAAATTGGGGCATTTCCAATACTGGTCTTTACCTTTAACAATGTTTCCAGTTTTACAAATCTGAGATGCATGGCCCTACGTGTTATCAGTGTCTATGATATGGTGTAATATGATGATACAATAGTCTAGAGTCGATTGTGGACTGCTGAGATTATTTCTAGATGAAACATAAATGTTGGATCATCCCAGGGTCTATTTCAGAATGTGCTGTCATCAGCATTAATTCAGCAATACAAGATGGCATCACATTCGATTCTATTATCATGAACGATTCTATTATCGTGAGCGATTCTACTATCATGAGCGATGAATTGAGAATTGAACTTCAACATAACATTGAACCGCTCAATATAGAACTGTCATTTGTTACTATACACTTGATTTATGAGTTCCTACCTAAGAAGTTCACACAAAGTTTGTCCCAACAAAAACCAAAAATCTGTTGTGCAAGCATCATCCACAATACATTTATTGCAGACATGTTGTGGCACACCTGTATGGCAGGGGAAAAACCCAAACATAACATAAAGAAGTTCTTTTCTGACTCGGGTTTTTGTTAATGCTGAATAAACTTTGACATACAGGTACGTGTACAACTATGAGTATCATACTGTACATGTATGAAAAGCATTTTGACATTAAAGGGAATACAAAGTTTTGGGAAATTTTGAAAATTGGGTGGATAGTAAATCTTTACAATTTTGATATATTTTGATGCCCCTGTGGATGTTTCATAAGCACAACAAAAATTAGCCCCTAAAACACTTCTGTTTTCAAGAAAAATTGAATATAAAAATTTACCGGTGCTCCCGGTAAATTTTGATAAATTTCAAATAGCGCCTATGGCCGTACAATGGTAGCTGCGACCATGAAAATCTCAGAATATGTAGTTGTGATATATAATTTTCAAACGGAATAGCTAATCGGTCGATTTTAGTCAAGAAACATTGTTTTATAGCTAAATTAATATTTGACCTTGAGAGGGAGCTATACAACTAAAGAGTTTATTATTTATTAATTTCATAACTTTAGACTCGATTTCAACCGCGACAACGATCAATGAATATTGTAGGAACGCATATGCTTCCAAAATTGTTAATTTGAACCAAATTTATGACCCCATACCAAAACTTTGTAATACCTTTAAACAGTAAATGCACAGATTCAGATAGATCATCTTTAAAGGCATTTGTTTTCAGTAACAAAGGCTAAATTGTCTATGTCAAAATTGCTCTCGGCCAATCAAATGCCCAATTTCAGTAACTTGTAACAGTTCCTGAAACTTGTTACTGATAACAAGTTTGATGAAACCGGGCCCTGATGTACTTTTGCACTCTGTATCAATGTACTCTCTGATATTATCTTACCATATCCTCCTGCAAATGTCTAATTTTAGATTATTAATAGAGCAATAAGATATGAGAAATGGTTTAAACTAGCTTAAGTAGAAATTCCCAGTAACTGTCATCAAAAACAATTAAACTTAACATGACCCATGTATGACCCATGGCTGATATAAAAAACTGTTGAGCTTTTGTAATTTTCTTTTTCAGAGAAAGTCACATTATTCTTTATATCAAGTCATTAGCAGGGGCTAGAGTGCTACAAAAGTAGCACAGAGATCATTAAAATAAGATCATACAGTACTGCATGTACATGTACCAGTATATCTTGATCAAAGGTGGTTTTGAGGCCGACATCCTATTCAAGCATCGCTTATGATTGCAGTCTCCTGCACTTTTTCACAGATTGTTCGGATGATATTTTAAATTTATAATAATATGATATAGAAATATTAAGTTTGTTATCATACATTTTGACATGAAGTTATTGTTTGCATATTTTATATTATAATACTAGGACACTGCTAGCGTTTAAATTGCACAAATAGGACATATTCTATGTCATGTGACATATTCTATGTGACATATTCATAATTCCTGCACAGTTCTACACAATTTGATGTTGGCTGCAAAAGGAATACACTACCTTTAATGCCCTTCAAACAAAACAAACACATTATAATAATAAACCAATCAAGAGCCTGAGCAATTTATATTCATGTACATGTAGCTATATTAAATTAAATACCTATTAATAAAAGCAATGTTGTAGGCGTACATAATGTACATGTTAACTATAACGGAGGTGTCGAAATGATTTATTTTATGAGGCTTTTATTTGCACAGTATATCGAAGGGCACAAGCTAACAAATCAAAATCTCGTTCTAAACACTTACACATTCACATGCAAGTTATGATGATGGTGCAAGTGAACACAATGTACATAACATTTTATGTCACAGTACATTTACTTTTATTAGCAATCATATGTGTTTTTCACATACATGGACTGTTAGGTACAATACAAATTTGTACGATAAAATATTACATGACATGTATATATGCCTGTTCCCCCATGTACAATAACAAAAGGATATCATCCTTTTGACTCTAAACAGACGATACACAGTTCTCATTAATAATATTTTAAAAATAAAAGTTTACATTTTTAATGAAAATATTTGACTTTGAAGAAGACTACTCTGAAGTGGGTAGTAAAATGTATACACATCAGTAAAGGTGTATTTACTTAAAATTCTAAGATATTTTTGACTTGAGTTTCAAAGTTCACATTACACGTGTTACACAGCGAGCAACTTGCTTACCGGTACGGTCACAGATAATTAGGGTAAAGTTTCTCCATTTATTTTCTCTGAACAAAGGTTGAAGTGGGTGTGCTACCAGTAAGTTTCTTACCTCCCATCAGACTAACAGAATTCATTGTATAACTATACGATGCATAGTATACAGTACCTTATTACATTTTTCCAGTCCGAATGTTGTATCTAACGAAAAGTCGTATGTAATACACATATGTACATGTAGCATCATTGAACATCATTTCAATCGAAAACTTGATCGAGAATCAGGGTCCCGTTCTAGTCTAAAAGTTGCATTGCACTTAAACTTTTAAATTGGGTGGGGCTTATCATGTACACGCCCTGATTATTGGCCAGTCGACCTCTTCAAAACAAAATTCTCTATTTTGCCCCCTTTTACAAAGTTCCTTTATATGATTTTTGTATAGATTTCTCCAGTTTGAACAGGCTTTTTAAAATAGTATTTCTTATCTGCAGCGTATGATTCACAATTACAAACATCAAACGCTTTGTAAGATGTTGTTGTTTCAAGAACTAGAATGCTTTCAGAATAGTAGGACAACATGTTTGTTTACAGAACACATAGTACCAGTAACCCCTTTTCATGACAAAGGCATGTTCACTGTTTGTTCACAGTTACTGGTAGATATCATGCTTCAGTCAAAACATCTCGCCTTGGTCTAGCATCATGTAGCCAGCCGTTGAATATTGTAT